CATTGGAACTAACTTTGGGAGATAAGGCTCTTTTGCTCTGACACTTGAAAGCTGCTTAATGCAGGACTTTAGGCAAGTACTTTATCTCTCTAAACTTCTGTTATCGCTTTGCTGTGTTATTGCTCTCTGTATATATATCTATATATATATATATATATATATATATATATATATATATATATATGCGCTACATCTTTTGCTGTAAATATATTTTTTATTGCACCCTTTTGACCTTTTAGTAATAAATCCTATTATCTGAAAGTGTTGAACTGTTTCAAAAGCTCTTTAATGCAAACTAAGAACCCCTGTCTCTGAAGAGCGCTACTGTGTGTTTTTAAACGTCTGCATACCTTTGCCTGCGGTGACATTGTGTATGCAAATGATTATTCAAATATCAATGTTATTGCTGCTATTGCCGAGTTTCCTCTTTCTCTGTACAAAAAGGAGGTGGTGGCAGTGTGAAGGGTTAATTGCGTAACTAACCTGACCCAGTACAATCGCTCCCAGGCTGCCAGTACCCAGATTGTGGTCCATTAGCTGGAAAATCTTTGTGCAGGGTGCAGCTGGGCGTGGCATTGTTACGCACGTGACAGTGTGGTTTTAGATTGGCTAGTCCTTCGGTCACGAGTTTGGTGAGAAGGGCTGGGGTCTGACGCCATGATAGTCACAGCACTTAGTCATTAGATTGATTGCTGTTGAATGGGAATGCCTATACATGGATCGAAGTTCAGCCAGTCCCTTCTGAACTGGTCGAATTTAAATTTATCTGTGGCCAGCTTTAATTCACCAGGATAGGCATGCTTATTTTCAAAAGATTAACTTTTTCATCTAAGTCCAGTGAGATTAAAAAATTACAGTCACATTGCTGAAATTAAAATCATTATCCTTGTGTTAAAGCTTTGTGAATTGACCTTTATATCAGTGGCATTTTGGTATATCATTGCTATGTTGGTAAATTTCACAGAAATATGCCAGGGTCTCACAACTATGAGTACTGTGTGCTCTTAGCATTAAAGGGGAAGCTTTTAAAAAGCTAGTTTCACCATGCAGTGCCACTTGGTGAAATGAGACGTTACTGAAGTTTCATAGAAAGTATATGCAAAATCATCAGTTTCACCACAAAATCAAGTTTGTCAAAATCACCAAATCATCCCTATACATTCAACCTTTCCTTGAGTATATGTGGTTTATAGATTGTGTAAATTATGTATAAGTAATATAGTATAATAGCAGTGGAGGCAATGATTTAATCTGAACACTAGCTGTGATGTACACTACATGTTTTATGCTGTATGGGCTAAAAGGATTCCTTTTAAAACGGTTATCCTGATCTGATTCCAAGATACAATTTAAACAAATGGATTTTAAATTGCTTACTACCCAATTGACTCACTTGCCTAATGCAAAAATCTTGATTTGTAAGTTACATTTTTACTAAACAATAACCCTTTGTTTTCAGCACAGTGGTCACTTCTTGAAATTGTTTAATGTTTTTTATTTGTGGGGTGATGACATTTTTTTTGTTGATTTACCAAAATATATTTGTTCCATTTAAAGTGGAAAAAAAAGTTTATTGCTGTGGATATGGAAATACAGGACTTATTCAGTCTAATAAGGGTCCCAATCCCAATGTTGTAGCAATAGGCCAGCAGTTTAAATATAGTCCAGGATGTTCACAAGACTTGGGCATGCACTACTCAATTATAACTTATTATTATATCTTAGTACTAAAAGAATCAAATACTGGTACTATTGAAACTTCTTAGTAAACAACAATCAAAATCTTGAAGAGATTGTCAAATCCTTAGTGGATAACAAGTTAAGGGACGCCTATTGTGAAAAATATTGTATTCTAAAAAATGTACTGTACAGTACAGTATGTGGTTAGAGTTTATGTACAGAGTTGTTCTGGTGAAACCTGTAAAATTTTGGATTTCTCCTAACTTTCTGTCTTGGTAGCAAAGGTCATCAGTTAAAAAAAAAAAAAAGGCATGTGCGATTCGTTTCGTTATGAAATTAAATTATTATTCGGAGATTTGGATGTATCCGAATCTCTGAATCACAATAGTAAGGAGTTTCAATGAATCCAAAATAAATAGTAACGAAACAACAAATAAACTATATTGCCAAATGTATTGGGACAGCCCTCCAAACCATTGAATTCAGGTATTCCAATCACCTCTATGGCCACAGGTGTATAAAATAAAGCACCTAGGCATGCAGACTGCTTCAACAAACATTTGTGAAAGAATGGGTAGCTCTCAGGAGCTCAGTGAATTCAAGCGTGGTATCGTGATAGATTGCCATCTGTGCAATAAGTCCGTCCTTGAAATTTCCTTGCTACTAAATATTCCACAGTCAACTGTTAGTGGGATTAAAGTGGAAGCAACTGGGAACAACAGCAACTCAGCCACGAAATGATAGGCCACGTAAAATGCTGAAGCGCACAGAAGTCACCAACTGTCTGCAGAGTCAATAGCTAAAGACCTCCAAACTTTTTGTGGCCTTCAGATTAGCACAACAGTGCATAGAGACCTTCAAGGAATGGGTTTCCATGGCCGAACAACTGCATCCAAGCCTTACATCACCAATGCCATGCAAAGCATCAGATGCAGCGGTGTAAAGCACACCGCCACTGGACTCTAGAGTGCTTTCTGGAGTGACAAATCATGCTTCTGTCTGGCAATCTGATGGATGTGTCTGGGTTTGGCAGTTGCCAGGAGAACGGTACTTGCCTGACTGCATTGTGCCAAGTGTAAAGTTTGGTGGAGAGGGGGTTTATGGTGAGGGGTTGTTTTTTTCAGGGTTTGGGCTTGGCTCCTTAGTTCCAGTGAGGGGGAACTGTTAAGGTGTCAGCATACCAAAACATTTTGGACAATTTCATGCTCCCAACTTTGTTGGAACAGTTTGGGGATGGCCCCTTCCTGTTCCAACATGACTGCACACCAATGCACAAAGCAAGGTCCATAAATACATGGATGAGCAAGTTTGGGGTGGAGGAATTGACTAGCCTGCACAGTGTCCTGACCTCAACCTGACAGAACACATTTGGGATGAATTAGAGTGGAGACTGCGAGCCAGGCCTTCTTGTCCGACATCAGTGCTGACCTAAAAAATGCGCTTTTGGAAGAATGGTCAAACATTCCCATAGACACACTCCTAAACCTTGTGGACAGCCTTCCCAGAAGAGTTCAAACGGTTATAGCTGCAAAAGGGTGGACCAACTGAATATTGAACCCTACGGACGAAGACTGAGATGCCATTAAAGCTCATGTGCTTGTAAAGTCAGGCGTCCCAATACTTTTGGCAATATAGTGTCAATCTGTATTCATTCGTTTGTGACTTGAGGGTTTTGTAAGTTCAATAATACGTGCCACACTCTGTATTGTTATGATTGGCCAAAGCCAAAAGTAGCAAAGCAAGTTGTAAGCAAGTCACCGAAATAACGTAAGGACATAACTAATCCAAATCTTCCCAAAGAACTTCAAAAATACGAATTGATTTGGAACAAATATACAAATTGAATCTGAATATACTAAATGAATTACAAAAACAAATCATTCTAACATAACAAATATGATAACATGAAATGATTGATATAACGAATGAATCCAAAACGAAAGACATTGTCTCATCGTGCACATCTCTAGTTAAAAAGAGTGAGTGAAGCTCCCTAACCAGGTCAAAGGAAGCAATACAAACTTGTCAAGATTTCTAATCCTGCCCTATTTTACCTAAAAAAAAAAAAAACGTAAAAAAGGAAAAAGGTTTGGCTATACATACTCTTTGGTATACAGTATTTGTGGATCATATTTAGTGCATAAATTCCTTCTTTATATTTTGTCACATTTGCATGCACATCAAGCTGTCCAGCAAAGATAATGGTGACAGGAGATGAAACAAACTATGACAGTGTAAGATGAATAAACAGTAACCATTGACACTGTTATATTTTACTAAATGTATTGTCTGCTTTCAATTATTGTAATATAGTTTATACTGTAGCTGTCATTTTATAATAATTTTTTCTCAAAGCAATCATTGTTTAAGGCTCAGTTCACACTATTGCGGGTTGTGTGGTCCGCATCTTCTCGGGCATGGCAGCCCATTCATTTGAATGGGCTGCTGTGCTGCATTTCCCATGGAAAAAAGGTGCATGCACCTTTTTAAAAATGCAGCCGCGGAGAAAGCCCTGCGCGTCTGGCAAGAGCAGAGCTTTTTGGCTGCGGGTGTAGGAACAAGTGTGATTCCTGCAACCAGCCCCTATGTGTGAACCTAGGCTTAAAAAAATGTGTTCTGTTCTAATTCTTAGTGTTCCCTAATTTACTTCATGTATACTGCCAAAGTCCATGGTATTGTATTAGATAGTATACAGTGTCATCCTCTCTGATGTCTGGTGATATGGAGTGCCTATTCCCAAGAAAATCTAGCTGTATGGAGATCCTAGCTGTGCAAAACCTGGAATTTGCAAGTACAACAACCTGTAATAGTATTACTTATTATAATCAGCAGTGTAGCTGTTGACACACTAGCGATAATGAGAATGCATGAACCCAAGAAGCCTTTTATTTCTTTTAGAGTTTTTTTGACATTGAAAAAATTTCCTGAGGATGGATTGTTTAATTTTCCCTTAAGAAATGACTGCAATCCTTACACAGTTTGTTCATTAAAAGTAAATGTCACCCCTGTCCCTAGAAAGTAGCAGTAATAACAGAACAAATAGTTCAGTCCCTTAATTTAAATTATACACTTTATCGAATAGAGTAGATCATCATTAAACTCTGTAGGTATCATTTCTCACCATATTTTCCTGCTTATGACAATGGCTAACACAAACAACATTTTACCATAGTTTCAGCCTAATCAGCAGTCCAACTATTAATGTATGGTAACACTGACAGCGTCCATGTCTATTTTATTGACAGCTGTGCTGGCCTTAGATGGACATAGTGTCCTTCTAGAAGAAATACCAGATCGAAATGTTGTGGAGCTTGTAGTAAATGGAGAAACTGTATTTCAGTGCAACATCAAAGAGCTTGATTTTGGTAAGAAAAATGCCATATTTAATAAAGTATCTTCTATAAGAAATCTCATGTTTGATGAACTTTGAATATTAATATGCACCACTTTTTTGATAGCTACTTCACTGAATAAGGCCGAATATGTGCATTTGTCCTAATATAGCCTTTTTCAACCATTTTAATATAGAAGAACCCTGCAAATAGTTTTTATGTCTCAGGGAACCCCGCTAAATCTCTAGCACATTTGCGTGATCAGTAAGTTGTAAATATAATAAATAAAAATAATAAATGATATAAAAGAAAAAAAAATGTATGTAGTGTATCTAGCATATTTGACACCCAGAGCAGATTTGTTTAACACGCCTTAGCTCTATAAGAAAAAAAGTTTCAGTTACAATCAGGAAGTAGAACAAATAAGGCCCCTTTCACAAGACAGGTCAAACCAGGTCCACCCGTCAGTTTGTCAGGCAGAACGGATCTGACCCTCTATTCACCTCTATAGACTGGTGGGTATCCCTTAACACCTGCCTACCTCAAAAAAAAAAAAATGGAAGGGAGTCCGTTTCCCTCCATCTAGACAGATTGGATAGGAGGGCTGTCTGTTTGTCTGTTGTAAAGTCTGTTTACACCCATAGAGCAGAGCAGGCTTTATAAACGTACTTTTTTTATATTTTGCCTTTTTTTTTTTTAAAGCATTGTTATGGCTGTGGTAAAGCCATACCCCTACTTTATAAATGGGCCTTTTAGTAGTCTAGTGGCTGCTGTCAGAATGCAATGTCCTAGCAGGGGTGATTCCTCCATCCACATTCGTGGTATGGATGGATAAACCTGTTAGTTTTTTTCTGTTTTAGGCCGCTGGCTGAACAACAACAACAAACTAACATTGTATGGCCAGTTTTAGGCTTTAGATTCCGTAAGGGGGCACAGGAGATTTATGTATTTATTTAATGGCAAGACAAAGGTACTTTTTGTACTTCAATAATAATGTGAAAGTGTGCCTAACCAGTTTGTGTACAGATTAAATTAAAATTACACAAAACAAATAGAAACAAGCAATCAGTGACAAGTTTCTCTATGCTGCAATTTTTCTTTTGTAGGAGGTGATGGACTACTGGACCCACTTTGTGAAGATGCAAGACAAGCAGTGCTGAGGGCTTACTAATAAATATGTAGTATCTGCCTGCAACCTTATATTTCCCGTCTAGCCCTATAATTCATATTTACAGAAATTTTTGTCCTGAATTACAATGTGGAATAAAAGTAAGCTTTTAATAACATTTTTTTAGTCTAAATATTCAAAAAGGTATGCGCAAAAAAACTAAACAAAAAAAAACCCTTTACCATACACATAACATCAACATTTGTGCCATCAGGAAATCACCTATATTGCTAGGTTTCTGTGGTAGTGAGCCCTTGTAGAACGCCACTTTGGAGTTCCCCAGTGTGTGAAGCCTAAGCCCCAGCCTGCTTCTTCATGAGGGCCCCTGATGGTGGGAATGGACCTGTAGCATCAGATCACTTACGTATGCAGACTACAGATGGCAAGAGACAGAAGAGGACCCAGGAAGCAAGGCAAGGTCATGACAGGCAGCAGGCAAGTAAAAATTATAGAGAAAGCTGGGATCAGTATACGAAAAGTCACACACAGAATACAAGTAATGCAAGGCACATATTACCACTAATTGTCTAGAATCAGGCCCATATTTGCACTCTCTAAGCCCTGTTGAAGGTGATCTCTTGGAACCCCTAAACACATTGGTTTCCTTAATAGGACAAATTAATCTGCACCATTAATCTTTACCAGAACCTTGCAAAGCCACCCGTACCATAGAAAGCTTCCTGTAGAACTATTCATGTTGAAACAACTCACCCATCCAGGTTCCTAGCAATAACAGGGAATCCAGCACTGCATACTCCCACCATAACGGGACCCAGAATTTTTGGAGGTCTGGAGTGATATTCGTGTGGGAAAAGGACCTCCACTCCTGACTAAAGGAACTCTGGTTCATACAGGGTTAAGCAATCTCCAGGAAGCAGCACAAAAGACAGGAAGCACCTAGTCCTGGAGATGGAGTAGGAGTTTTGAGGAGACTTGACTTTGTGCTCTACTTGTACTGGAAAAAAAAACTGACAAAACATTTGGTGCTGGATGCTGCTAACCCTTGATTAAAGCCCTTATATGAACTTTACATGGTTGATAGTTTTATTTGTACTGAAGATAAAGATAAAAGACTATCGAGCTGTGTTTTCTGAAGTTTTTATTTGCTGCTGGAAGCTATATTTTGTGTGCTTCGAAAGAAAAATAAATACCTTTATAACATGGTCCCAAGGAGCTACAGTATACCCCTGAACTTTACAATTCGTTGTAAATGAAATAATAGCTTTTTAATAAAATATTTCTAATACTACTCTATAAAAATAATTAACACAAAATGAAAAGCATACCACCCAAACCCCTCAACAGCAAAAAAAAAAAAAAAAAGTATATGCATGTGGTATAATAAAATTTAAAAAATAAATCTATACAAATATGATGCACTCCTAGCCCATAAAATTAATGTACAGAAGTGATATATCCATAAAACTGGCCTTCTATGGTATTATTACACAGATCAGTCAAATGACATAACCAATGGTACAAAACACACAAAATTATTGGATAAAATGAATATATAATAATTTTGTGTGTGTATATATAAATGCATATTACACACATACATATATATATATACACACACACATATATATACATATATATATAATACACACACACACACACACACACACACACACACACACACACACCCCCCCCCCCCCCAGGCTAAGGTTACCAAGTACAACCAACCTTAAAATAAAATGACAGTGCAATAAATAAGATTTGATAACAAAAGTAAATAACCAGTGGCACAACAAAAGGAGTAAAATGCTAGTGGTGGGAGTCTCTCAAACAGTAAGGCCAACCAAACCTAATGGTATTATTTCAGACATTTCTAACAACGTTAATAAACTAATTTTGGTATGCTTATGGGGCCGATACTTAATATAATCTTTCTACTATATCTTTAAACAATTACACTCAATATAATCTTTCACATATTCATAGGAAATCACCACCAAGAATAACCATTAGGATGTCTTAAATCCATAAAGAAGAATCCAGTTCAGCCTTGCAGCTCTTTACCGTGGTATTAAACCCCAAACCAAAATTTTATATATTGCAGCTTACCAATCATTAGCGTGATGGCTGTATTATGTTTCCTTTTTTTTTTTAGGCTTTTTACCTCTGTTTTTACTTAGTGATCTGGCCAGTAACACACCTCCTGTATTACAATACCCCCAATTTCGATGAAGGCACCATTGTCAGTCTGAAATGAGTGGAGTGTCAGATGGACAAGCAGATTTAAATACACTAATAAATTGAAATCAAACGGCAGTTATTACATTATAAGCAGTTACAGCAAACAGTTTTTTCCTTTTCAGACACATATGAGAAAACTTTGAAATAATAGTATAGCTGGTCACAGCCCTCCCTAGCTTTCTCTTTACAGAAAGCAGCTGCTGTAAAATCTACTGTGTCTAAGCAGTGCAGCACAGATCTCCTTCCCATTTGGTAGTATCCAGCAGTATGAAATGAACCCGGTATACCTAACACAATCAACCTAAGGCTGAAAAAGAAATCCAAAAGGTTCTACTCAACTATTATTATTATTGATATTACTACTATTAGTACAAATAGAAATGGTGCATCTCACAATGGGAACTTAGCAATTAAACAAATCAGAATCTAATCCTTCCATGCTTTGTACAAAAGTGAAAAATGTATTGTTTTTACACACTTTCATTCCCTTGTTAGTGGTCAGGTGCAACAGATCAAGGTCCCTGTGGGGAACACACAATTTTGCTGTGGGACCCCATAGTCTGCAGTTATGCCCCTGATATGAAACATACACTTTTCTGCCACAGCCCACAAGCCTAACAGGAATGGCAAGAAATAAAGAACACTTAAAAAATGTTAGAAATTGTATTTAATTCCCCAGGGGACCTAGTGCTATATTCACCTGGTCCCATTTAGATTGGTGGCCCTGTTGTCATCCAAATGCACTTCTATGCTCTAGCTTCACCCCTGTTTGAAGCCCATATTATGGGCATTCCTGTGGGGGGAATGCACAGCCTGCGCAGAGCCCCTGCCCCTTCTCTGTTCTGCTTGTTCATTTTTCGTAGTAAAAAATATCTCTGAACTACAGCTCTATGTAATATATCAGACAGTGCCTAGTATGTTTAAAAGCAGCTGCAGCTAGATCAAACAGAGCTGCAGTGTTGAGTGATCTTTTAGTATTATGAATTAACAAGCAGAGCTGAGAGGGGGCAAACTCTCTGTGCTGGCTCTTCTGATTTTACACATGCACAACCCCGAAGTGCTAAGTGAACTTTACTTTTATGGATGAGCAATCAGCAATATACAACTGGTGATACAGCCCAGCAGCACCGATCACTCATTCATAACACTGAAAGCATTGTGCAGTACTATGTGATCCATTGGCTGGGGCTGTGTATATTTAGATTCAGCAGATAGCCGCACAGTGCAGCAGGCTGTGTGACCTTTTGTGAATGGCAACGCTGGTCTCCAGAGTGGCCCCTACTGTCAGAGACCAAAGCTGTCTCTCACAAATCTGTCTGCTTCCTAGAAACAAGGTAGGACTGGAAGAGAGGTGAGAAAAACAAAAGGTAAGCTAATGTGCACCCAAATCACAACATTAGTGCATAAAGGGTTAATTATATGAAGGTGCTGAAACATAGATTGGGTTTCCTAAAGAATAACCCAGGAATAATACACTATAAATTATAGGCAGCTCTCCAAACAGCTAACTTTTTGAACTTCATATATTTATGAAAGAAAGCATCATATAGAGACAGTGATACATTAGAGTGCATGCACAAGATCTCCCCACTGTTCCTCTATCTCAGCCTGTCTCAATCTTTTCAGTGCAGAGGAACCCTTGAAATAACTTTCCAGTCTCAGGGAATCCCTGCTAAAAATTACAATATCTTTAACATATGATACATTAGTGTGATGGTCAGTGGAAAGAATGCTCCTTACACTGATCACTGGCACTGAGAAGAATTACCCCCTTACAGATAGGCTAAAATGATGCAAAAATTGCTCAAGGAACCCCTAGCAACCTCTGGAGGAATCCTGCTCTATCAAGACAAAGTCAAACTCTCAGCTACAAGCTTCATATACATTTTCATTAGAACAAGGAGGAGATCCAGGCTAAAAGTGCAGCAATTAACAAACATCAATATACATGGATAGATACCAGAAAAAGCCTTCAGCTGGCATGTGGACACTCAGAATCAGATGGAGGTAGGAATTACAATGTTTCAGAGTAAAAACCCCTTTCTCAAGTGAAATTCACCTGTCTGCATGATGCAGACAAACAATTTAAAAATATAAAATGGCTCCAAAACTCACTATATCCGCCCCTTACTCTCCCAAAGTTGGGTGATGTCAAACCTAAGGCAGGAAGTATCACTTCCAGTACACAACCACTCGGATGCAGCCTGCCAATCCCTGGAGGAAGTAGCCAACCAGGGGCGGGGAGGCTTCTCTTGCTGTCTTAAATGGACACACTCCATCAGTTACACCTTAACATATAAAATAAACAGCAGAGCAGGGAAGCTGATCTTGCATCCTAGGTGAAAACATTTTGGGGAAGAGGACCAGCACAGCATAAATAGCCATTTAAAAAACACGAAGAAAAATTGTGAAAATATATACACATATGAACAAAACAAAACAAGGGTAACGCCATTAACCACAATTATCTATATCTTCATATATACATAGCAGTTATAAATAAATTACACTATATTGCCAAAAGTATTGGGACACCCCTCCAAATCATTGGATTCAGGTGTTCCAATCACCTCCATGGCCACAGGTGTATAAAATCAAGCACCTAGGCCAGGGGCGGACTGACAACTCATGGGGCCCCCAGGCAATAGGGGATCATGGGGCCCCTGTGTCCTTGCCCAAACTCAAAAAAGCCTATGAAAAAGGTACCAGGGGCATCTCATGGGGCCCCCTACTGAACCTGGGCTGTGCCCGAGTTTCCAAATGGTCAGGCCACCCCTGACCTAGGCATGCAGA